CTCTCCTTCCACTATCCCTACAGGCAGCAGGCACAGCAGGAGTAACTATGATCTCCTGAACTTCAGTGTTTATGAAAAACATGTCAAGCAGTGTCAGCTCTCCTCTCTGAGCAGTGTCAAAGAGAAGTGTCAAAGTGCCCTCAGCACTTTGGTCACAACAACCCCAAGCAGTGCTACAGGCTTGGGGGAGAGTGGCTGAAAAACTGTGCAAAGGAAAAGGATCCAGGGATGTTGGTCAATGCTCACCTGAACATGAGCCAGCAGTGTGCCCAGGTGGCCAAGAAGGCCAACGACATCCTGGCTTGTATAGTGTAGCCAGCAGGAGCAGGGAGGTGATCGTCCCCCTGTACTTGGCTCTGGTGAGGCCACACTTTGAGTACTGTGTTCAGCTTTGGGCCCCTCACTACAAGAAGGACATCAAGGCCCTGGAGTGTGTCCAGAGCAGGGCTACAAAGCTGGTGAAGAGCCTGGAGCACAAGTCCTGTGGGGAGTGACTGAGGGAATTGGGGGTGTTTGGTCTGGAGAAGAGGAGGCTCAGGGCAGACCTTATTGCTCTCTACAGCTACCTGAAAGGAAGGTGTGGCGAGCTGGGGGTCGGCCTCTTCTCACAGGTAACTAGTGATAGGACTAGAGGGAATGCCCTCAAGTTGTGCCAGGGGAATATCTGGTTGGAAATGAGGAGACATTTCTTCTCAGAAAGAGCAGTCAGACATTGGAATGGGTTGCCCAGGGAGGTGGTGGAGTCACTGCCCCTGGGGGTGTTAAGGAAAGGTTGGAACATGGTGCTTAGGGACGTGGGTTATTGGGTGACATTGGTGGTAGGGTGATGGCTGAACCAGATGGTTTTGGAGGTCTTTACCAACCTTAATGATTCTATGATTCTATCAAAAATGAAGGCATCGTCTTGCTCCCTCATAGGCAGAACTGGGTTGGCAGTTGAACATCAAGCCTTTTGCTGTTTCATCTTTTTTGTTCATTGGGTTATCTTGCCCACTTGCATGTCTGACTTCAAACTTCACCTGTCACCTTGTTTCCCCTCTTCTTCATGTTTGCAATGCATCTGTTTGCTAGTACACAGCAGAAGTGAAGGGTGAACCAGGTCTGATTTGGAAATACTGTGAAGACTGCAACTCCGGAATATCCCTCTCCTGCCCACAGACAAGGCTGCATGTTCTAGCTGGTTCTTCCTGTTAGGTGACCTGATTGCTTGGAGCTGAGCACAGTACTTAAAAGCATTTGGCAAGTGCAATGCCTATCAGGGAGCAGCACAAGTGCTATTTGTCGTCCTTTGCTGAAGGAAAAGCCACTTATTTGTTTAGGAAATAGAGGCTGTAAAGCTTAACTTGTGATATTTTAGTCACTTCCATGGCAACAGACTCTGAGAGAACAAAGCGGGACTTCACCAGATCATGTAACAGCTTGGAAATGGAATAGGGAAAATTAAACGTAGCGATACTATGGAGTTTTCCCTAACTTTTGAATGTTACCTCTGTTAGTTAACTGCTAATGTAATCAGTGAAGCAATTGCTGTACTGCCGAGCAATTAAGGGAAAACTGGCATTGATTTCCTCCAGTTTTCAGGCATTCCTTGTTTCTGTGAGGACAGGGGATGTGCCAGCCCAGCACGTTGGTTACACTGTCCAGGGATAATACACAGCTTCCAGCAGATGCCCTGCAATATCTGTATTTAAGGGGCAGCATTGGTTAGAAATGAGGCTCCAAAGGCATTGGGAAGAACAGGAATTTCTCCAGCTCCTTCTGTAGGCTTCAGATTTGGCTTTATCTTTGAAATCTGGCATAGCCCATTGCAGAGTAGACAGTAAGTTGCAAAACACATGGCTGAATGACAGGACTGCAAACCTTCTGTGTTTAAAGGCAAACCCCTTATGTTCCCACTCTGAGTTAGATCTGGTCACTGGGATGTTAGACCCCTCACCACAGGCAGGGAGAAGGAGAGATGATTTTACTTTTGTCTTTTTTTGTGGGTGTTATGGGCATAACTTGTTCCATTGCCTTTGGCTCAGTCATGCATGTAGCACCAAAGAGGGCAATAGTGCCCGTGTATCAAATGGCTTATTTTTTTAGGCTTTCACATACTTCAGGGAAAGGGAGGTTTATTAAATAATAGAGAAAATGAATGATAAAGAAAAAAATGTGTTGTTTCAAATCTCATCTTGTGCATCTCTAGTAAATAAAAATTGCTGCCACAAAATGATGTGAAAACAAACAAAACCCAAACAAACAGAACCACACAAAAGGCAATGCGGCTTGTTTTTAACTTCAAATGCAAATGACAGCATTTGAGTCAATTACAAAGCAAGTAACTGGTTAAGTAGCTCCATAAGTGAAGCTTGAACTTTTAAAACTTTAATTAAGTCTATTGCTAGAAGTGTGCCACTTCGATAAACCAATTATTCTTGAAGAGTATTTCTGTCATATTTCTGCCAGTATTGCCTTCACCCTGAGGAGAACAAGAAAGTCAGTGAGATTCGGTCATTTTTTAGCAAACAACGTAGGGACTGTCAGATTGCAGTGTGACTTCTGAGTTTTGAACCTGCTGGCAAAGATGAAGTGCTTGTCAGCCCTGTTAGCCAAATCATTTTCAGTTCTTCTCTCATTCAGCGGTTGCAGACCAGTGGAGAGGGTTTGACAGTCAGACATTTCAGGTCTAAGATTTATCATTCCTTGCTTTCTGCTACCCTTTCTGCTCTTGCATTGTCTGGTACTTGCTCTACAAGCCTGCCACAACTCTTTTCTAAGGCAGCTTCAGGAGTAAAGAAGAGAACTTGCTTCCTCTCAAAGCTTTCCATATAATTTTATACTCTGCCTTGAATAACTTCAGTTCATACAGCAGGACACATAATGAGGTTATATTAGGAACTGTGATCTCATCCCCATTGCTGGAATATTGCAGAAATACTGCAAATGCACTGTTTGGTCCACCATGGAGGTAGCTGTCACTGACACATGTACATATGTGAATGTGGTTTTATGTTTATTCCTTTTCATTACTATCTCATATTATTTTTCGTGTTTAATTGATATGAAGCAGACACTTGAGATAAGAGAATTCCCCCTTAGTTCTCTTTAGGTCTTAAAATACTAAGCTCCTAAATATAATTATAAGAAGCAGAAGGTTGTGGGCACATCAGGAAGGCTTGGAGTAGGAAGGCAAAATTACCTACAGGTTGGAACTGGAGAAATCCATTTTTTTTCTGACTGACATTTAGTCTACCAATAATCTACAATATGTCACTCAGTGCAAAAGTCTCAATTTTTGGACACAATTTTGTAATGCCTGCAGTTGGAATTTAGATGAATAGCTAAGCTAAAGGTTCTCCAACACCAGGTTAATACAAGCAATTGACAGTGCAGCTGAACATGATGACAATTGAACCTACACTTTCAGATTCAGACTGGAAATTAACTTTGTTGGAGACTAGCCCCTAACATGGAAGCATTCCGAATGACAGGCTGCTTTAGAAAAATTCACACCTTCCTCTCCATGTGCCATGATTTCTGCTTCAGTAAAAGAGAGAATCACTGAGATGTGCCTTGAAACTAGTAAATGATGCTGTGCAGCTGCAAGGTAGTTTATGCTTCTTTGGAAAGCTGAACATCCACTTTTTCAGGTAAAATATCTGAACAATTATTTATTTTGTGCCAGTGAAACAGCATTATTTTAAAATAAATTGGTGAAGGAGACATTTTTACTTCAGATTAAACTGTAGATTAAATTGTACTTAGACTCTTGACAGCTGTCCTCATTTTCCCCTCACTTAGTGCAGTGGTAATGTAAGTTTTGTTTCACTGAAGTCAGGAAAAAAGAAACTTTTAATGTTGTTTTGGTTGTGTTATTGCATTTTTCCCCTTTATTTTCAAGATAAAGGCAAGTTTCCAAGTTAGAAGGAAAATAGACATTATACCCTTGGTGCAATATTTCCACAGTTTCAGTTTGAGTCTTGTAGGCCTGATTGTAATATAATAATTTAGCAGGATAAGAATGATTTTAAAAATAATAATATTCCAGTAATTAACTGTAACAGTACCAGATCCTCAGATATCTAAAGCACATTGGTTTCTTACAATTTGCTGAGTGGAGAGAAACAGTTCCGACTTTTTAATTGTGTATGAGCTGAACAAAAAATGAGGAGAATCTCTATAAACAATCTTTTTATTCCGATGATTTCTGAAATATGCAAGTGGAAGAAGTGAGACCCATTTAATCTCTTACTATTCCTGCAGGAGAAATCTGTCCTCTTTCAGACAGCCTTTGAGTAGGAATAACCCTTCAAACTGATAAATATCAGAACCTCAGGAGTGTAATGCTACTTTTTATTTTTCATTATCTGAGGAATGAATGAAGATTAATAGGATATTTTTTATCTATATTAGAGACAAAAGACCCAGAGGGCTTGATTCCTTGTGAAACCTAGAAATGTTTTACAAAGGTTCAAACATTTATTGGCATTCAAATTCTAGTCATCTTCGCAATAGTAGAGTTTATGAGAAAGTTTGCGTATTAAAAATTACCATTTGAATTACTGTGTTGCACCTACGAACTTTATACATGCTTAAATTAAAAGTACAGCACATACCTGCTATAAAATATGGATTTACCACAATGTATGGACAGTTTGTTTGCTTGCTGTTTACTGTAAGAATGTCTGTCAAACCATGCTACAGCAAGCAACAGACATTCACTGTGAAAAGCAGCCTTGGCAATAAATAAATAAATAAAGCTAATGCAAAATTAGTTGAAAATAAAATAAAATAAATGAGTAGGAAAGCAGGGAATCCTGTATGCAGATTTTTGAAATTCACCTAAGAACATGTATGTATTTGGTTGTCTTCAGCTATAGCTCACCATAGGGCCTGTGTTTGCAATAGCCAGTGTTTGCAATACGCTGCTCACTACCAGTAAGAAGTTGGCTCAGCTGCAGGGATTAGTCAATGTTAATTCACATCAGGTGAGGACATTAATTCCTAATCGTTACATTTATTGTTGCACTGCGGTCAGTATCGGTAACAGAGGGCATGGGTGTAAGAATGTTGTTTTGCAATGATTAGGTCTGCCCATGACCAACTCTGTAGGTCTGCAGCTGGCCTTCTCCAAAGTTTGGGGAGGGACTTCAGATTTGGGGTTTTATTTTGGATAAAATATTGGCCTTTTTGGAGTTTGGTTGCAGGGAATGGAACTGAAGCGTGTTACCTCCATGTATGCATGGGCACAGGGAGGCCTGTTCTGCCTGCACACTCAGGCTCCCCATGACCCATATCCCAGGCTTATGTGGCTTGTCCTGGCTGCAGGCTGTCTTGTGCCTCGGGTCCTGTGGAGCCAGAGCAGATCCTGGCCAGAGCCAGAGCTCTGTCTTCAGAGCTGGCTTTGCTGTTTGGCCTCTTAAGAGAGAAGAGTGGGAACTCTTGCGAGCAAGAGTGCATCAGGACGAGGAAAGTTTGAGAGCAAGTGAAGGGTAGCGGGGGAGCAGGGCATGGGGCTGGGAACCTGCAGCTCAGAGACAGAAAGGGCTGTGAGGAACAGAGTCAGCCCTGCAGGGCCTGAGGGAAGCCTTCCCAGATCACTGGGGTTTGCACAAAATTTCCTGTGGACAGGAAGCCACAAAGACCAAGCCCAGCATAAAGGATTGAGTCAGAGAGGGAGATATGTATAAAAATCAATTTTATTAATGTCTTATCTAGCTTTTTTTTCTTCTTTTTTTCTTTTTCTTTTCCTTCTTTTTTTTTTTTTTTTTAAAGTCTTAGAGCCTTTTGATTGCCTTTGAGGACCCACCCTAGGGAACTGGCCTTGTGAGGAAACTCCAAAGCTGAGGACAGCTTTCAGCCTCCTCACCCAGCTGTGCTCAGCTATTCCCCAGCACCAGCAACACAAACCTGAGTCTGGCTTGAGACCAAATCGGTATAATGCAGTGCTTCTCTCCTTGGTTGCTCTGCAACCAGCAGCTGCAGACTTCCTGTCGTTAGATCACCCTGACACTTTGTGGAGGAATGTGGAGGCACTGGACCTTGTGACAGAGGAATTTACAGACTGCTTGATTAGCCAGGAGAGAGTTTTCCAGAATCTGACAGAAAGTCTCATTAACCCCCTGTTATCGTGTTCCAGAATACCTCGGGAAATGGGTGTGTGTCTGCAGACACACACCGCGTACATATTCTGTAAGGGACAACTGTCATCGCCACCCGTAGCACATTTGGCTGCAGTGGGTTGACGGTGCTTGCTGTCAGTCTGTCTCCAGAGCATGACGACCCTAAATGAAATGGGACATGGATGCTGTTAACCCACACGGCAGAAATATCCACTGGAAGCTGTCTCAGCCTCAGCAGCAAGAGGAGATGGATCTGGTTTCGTAAACCTTAGTTCAGGCTACCGTCCCTCCTCCTGACTGGGACCACTGCCCACAGCTGTGGGCAGGCAGGAGGAATTTGGCTATTTGGGCACTGACAATCGGGGCTGACAGCCCATCCCTGTGCCAACCTCGGTAGAGGAGACTGAGGTGAGAACATGGGAGGTGTATTGGCCCCTCCAGGGACTGGATATAGTGAGTGTGAGTGGTTGGTACAGTGTCAGGCTGGCCTTGAGTGCCAGAGTTGGGAATGCCATTCTAGTTTTCCAGAAAGACTTTTGTGTACTGAACAAATAGGTGTGCTATAGTGGGATTTTAAACTGTTGACTCAGGTAGGAGGTACGTTTTTCAAAAAATAAGGGAAATTGATCAGGAATAGTAAGGTGGGGTTTTTGTTTGTTTGTTTTCTGTGAAAGTTGCCACATGACATAACAGAAAAGGGAAGAAAGGGTTAATTTCATTGAAATGTGAACGATTTGTTTAAAGTGTATCCAACAGTTGGCCAAGAACTTAACTGAAGCTGCTGCTGTTTAGTTTGCTTTGTAAGAATGCAGCCCTTGGGAGCCCAGAGCTGCAGGTACTTTGCTACCTATCAGCATACACAAATACAACCTTTTCTTCCAAAGTGTTTCCTTCTGCCTGTTCATAAGTAAAGTAATAATCATTCAAGACATGCTTTAGAAAAGAAAAAAAAAAAAAAAAAGGGACCCTGATCTGAAGAAGTCTTACTATTTATTTATTTATTTATTTATTTTATTATTCCACTATGGCTGAATGAAAATTTTATGGAGGGTGAGGAGAAAGAGAACGTAATCCAGAATTTAATTTGCAAGAACCAGAAGGAGGGGAAGCTCATTCCTACAGTCTCAGTCTGTAAATCTTTTACAGAGCTATATATGTAAGTTGGCTGGATGTTAATCTTTGCAAAGATTAAGAGTAAAGGTCGTGACCTGAAGCTAAGTTGGAGGGCACAGTGATTAATGTCTCTCCATAAGTAATTTCAATAAGGAATTCCAGGGTGCCACACTTCATATATTTTTGGAGTTGTAATGTATCTCCTTCTTCTCCATCATATTTTCTTGTGAATTGGAAATACGTAGCTAATGAAATCTTTCATATGAAAATTGATACTATTGATTTATAAGGCAAAAAAAGACATTTCTGTTTTCTGATATGTTACGTATGCTTTGTGTCCCTTCTGTCCTAATTTACACCCACTGGATCTGGTGATCTGAATTCCTTGGCCTAAGCAGATCCTCCAGGAAAGTAGGTCATTGGAATGGAACAGTAGAGCTGGCCAAGGCAGTGTGTTTCCAGTTCACAGGAGAAGTTAATATCAAAACTTACCTTTGTTTTGAATCAGAATGAAACTAAACTAAGAGCAAAAAATGCTGCAGGTTAGAAATTAAGGGGGGGAGGGGAGCCATCTAAGACACAAGCTGTTTCCAAAATACAGTTGTCCAGTTGTTGTTGGCATTGGCTGCTGCTGAAAATTTAGCCTGGCTACAGAGCAAGTTTCCATGTGTCATGCTTGACAATCCTGCAAGATCTAGTGTATGCACCCTCCTCCAGGTAAAGGAGCAGTAGTTTATTCCTGCTTCATCTCTGCTGCACAGAGGTAACAGCAGACATGCTGTAGACCTGCCTCCGAAGTTATGTTGAAATTACTTGTTGGAGAAGCTTTGCCTAATGCTGATGGATGTTTGTGAGCCTCCACTGACCCTGGAGCCTGGAGGCTCGGCTACGCGTGGCCGAGCTGGCTGGGAGCCAGGGAGCTCCGGGCTCTGCCAGGAGTCCAAGTCCTCCAGAATCCTGCTGAGGACTCAATGAAAACACATCACAAGGACCAAGAGGCTTCTGCAGAATGTTTCAGGACTTTGGATGGTGTCCAATTAAACAGCATATTTCAAACGTCCTAGCTCCTGCTCCTACAGCTTTTCTTACACAGTTATTTTTGTGGGGAATTGCCACAGCTTCTCTTTCCCTCCATCATAATGAATTCTGGGGGGGATGTGAATGCCCCCTAGTTCTGCACTATAACTGATGAACAGATTTGTTATTTATTAGGTGCTGGCACCACTGTGTACTCGGAGCTCCTATTGGCTTCAAAGGCTGACATAGATAGGCTTTCAATGAACAAATGCTGAAGATGTGAAATGCACATGCAGGGAAAAAGAAACTCTTAAGACATCTTAAGATCTCAAGTACAGGCTCAGAATTACTTCTAATAACAAAGTAATATCATTTTTCTGTGGTTTTCATGTATGCTGTTAGGCATAATTAAGAAGAATTCTGACTCTTTCCACAAAACCAGCATGGCCCTACAATATTAATTTACAGTTTGCTTTGAACTTGAAATAAGTAATTATTTCAGAATAAGGGAGAATGGGCGGGTGCTAACCAAACCTCATGATTAGTACTCCCTGATCTTTCAGGCTGTTAGATTTCAATACTGATTCAATTTCAAATGATGCAAATTGGAAGAGCCTGAAAATATGGTTCAGAGCAACTCAGGACCTGATTTCTGTATTTGGTCTGCTTTAAAAGAAAATATTAACAGTTAAGCAATTATTGATTAATATTTTTCTCTTATGTACTTTTGCTTTATTATATTAATAAATACATTACTGGATGCAGAGAGAATCCTGTAATTCTACGGTGAGTTTTTACATCTGGGTTTCAGTCTTTGATTACTGAAATATGTTTTCTTGGAAATATATGTTTCCATTGAAATATATTTCTTCCTGCACTGGTGATTAAATAACACTGATACAAATATTCTGTCTTGTTATGTGACTGCTCTTGTACCCCACAATAAAGTTTTCCTGAAAGAAAAAACACTTGCAGCATAGCACAGGAAATCTCATGTTGCCTATCTCATAACATGTTAGGCAGATTACTTTCAAAGTCAGTGAAACTTCTTGTAAAATATTGAGTTGCAAACACTTTGTTTCGCTAGGTTAAGGTAAACACTTGTTAATTCATGCAGATTAGTTCTGTAGGTATAACTTTTCATCTCAACAGAATTAACCATTTTAGAAAGTGTTCCACAGATGACTTTTTGCTAACACTCCGTAGTTTTGCTAACACTAAACCTTTGGGTAGTCCCAGTGATAACACTGAAGACAATCCATGAATCTGTGCAGACAGGGCTGTGAAGATGAGAGCAGAGACAGTCTCCATCCCACCTCAGGGGAAGTTTGTGTCTGCAGCCTTCTCTCATCACTGCAGTTTCAGCCTGAACTTTAATCAACTTTGTTAACAGAAAGATTCCTGGCCATGCTGAATGGGGCTGATTATATGTTGTGTGTGCTAGCATCTTACTCTCTCCTCCAAGCATTGTCTTGCTTCATGAACCTCTTCCCTTTCACTGGAACTGCCTGACGTAGGGCATGCAACGTGACCACATTGACTACCAGCAAAGCATTCAGCCTCCTGGCTGCACAGGAGACGCTCCACCAAGCCAAGCTTGTACGGTGCTCACTAGGTGCTGAGAGAGCTCCCACTAAAAGAGTGAAGAAAAAAAAAGAATATCTTCAGAAGGCCCCCAAGACAATTTGACAATTTTACTTTAAGTTTAGCTTGTTGCTACTACATGGGGAGATGGGAGCACTTGTATGCTTTGTTTTGCTACAGGATTTCATAGATTTTTTTTGAGAGAGTCTGGATTACCAAGAATTCCTCTGTAAACATGTCTGTGTGTTTATTGTCCAAAATTAGTGAAAGATTAGGAAGCAAAATCTTGATTAAGATAAACCTGTCTTTGGTGTGGCTATGAAAAGGAGATATTCTCAGGACTGTATAAACTTAAACGACTGCTCCGATTTTATTGTTGATGATAACCTGGTCACAGGAAAAGACACAAAGGATGACTGAAAACTGAAGGAAGGGATGAGAAAAACAGGATTGAAGATTAGCCAAAATATATGCCTGTCAATGAGAAAACTTTGGATGATGAGTTCATCTAGCAGTTTGATAAACTTTATAATGGCAAATACATAAGATTATTGGAGGAGAAGATATACTTCAAAACTCAGAAGTTTTATGAAGTCAAAACTTTACACATAACTAAACATTGCAAGATTTTTTTTTTTAATGTGATTTGCATATGGATGTTTATGAAAAACATACACCATTTTGGAGAATAAAATATTAATTTCAAGTTTGGAGCCAAGGCAGGAGAAGATCTAATAAAGAATTCCGAAAATCTGTACTAAGAAGAGAAAATAGAATTAAATTCCTATGGCATGAATGTGGAGAACATGTAGGTAATATAATAGAAGATTGATCAATAAAATAGCTCTTGGGAATACTGAAACAAACAACAAAAAAACCACCAACGTTTATTTTCTCACAAGGTTAAATTTGATGGAGAAAAATAAATCTTATGTCTTTTAAAGCATATTAATAAAATGGAACAAGAACTATCTTCTATAGAACAAGGCAAACTGCTAAAGTTATTAGTGACTGTAAAATGGAAAAAAATCAGATTAAGTTTAGGAATGATCATTTAAGGATAATTACTCCAAGAAATTTTACTCGGTGACATTGATCAGTTAAAAATTCTTACACCCATTTTTTACAAACTATCTTGATTCAATTTTGTATTTCCCCAGGATGAATGTAGTACTCTTCTTTGCAATAATTCTTCCTCTGTTCTTCCAAAGAAGTGGAAGTTGAACATTGTTCTGAGTATAAATCAAAGATAATAGTCAATGGTTTTGCCTGATTAAGTTCTTTCCTCAACAGTAACACAAACTGATCAGTCATCTCAGACAAAAGTCAGCATGGCTGATGACATTAGCATGTCATCAACGCACAGACAACATCAATTGCAGAAAGTATAATTATACCACTTCCAGTTAGCTGTCATCACTTGAAATAATTAAACAACAAAAAGCTGTTAAGCTAGCAAACAACTGATGAAGTGATTTAAATATTTTCCCTTATCATATTGCTTCCCAACACATATCATTATGGTACAATGCTCAATATGACTCAAATTTTAGTTGATGGAAGACTACATCAAGTAGATTTTACTGTCATGAAGGAAAGCCCCCTGCAAACAAAGCCATATTTTATAGTCAACAGTGCCAATGTAGGCAGACTTTTTTTCCTGCTTATTTTGCATTCTGTATGAGCTGAAGCATGCAGCCTTCCAAAAAAAGAAAGCTCTTTTCTGGGAATCATATCATACCATTAATTTTAAAACAAAATACATCCTCCAAAATGATAAAGATCAAAAACACAGGATGGTGTTTAATCAGGTGGCACCTGAATTTTTCTAACTCAGGTTGTCTGATGAAAAAAATATGAACTACTTTCACAAACATATTTTGAAACTAATTGCCAAATGTATTGTGTAATCTAGGAGAGTATTATTAGCACCTCATGTTCTGAAGAGGTTTACAAATTCATATTTACTCTAGCATGGGCTCCCTTACTTTATTACATGGAGAATGTATACCTTTGAGTGGGGAGAAGTCTGAAACATTTGTACTAAAAACTCCAGCAGACCATTAGACCACACATGGCAGTTAGACACTCTGGTATGCACACATACTTGACCAGACTTTGGGAGCGTCTGTTCTGATAAAAAGATTTGCCCATGCAGATCCTCTCTAGGTTAAAGATTTTGGTCCTCCTGATGAAGGAGGATTCATACAGCCCCAACTACATGGGCCATCATTCAACA